AATTAAAAAAATGTTAAGACCAATCGAAAGATCATTAAATTCTCTTTCGAAATAGTGTATAACATTATAAGATTATTTTCTTTTTTATATAATAAAAATCTCTTGAAAAACGCTCTGCTAGCGATCGTCTTTTGAAGGTGGAACGAGTTGAAATAGAATGCCTCATATATAGTTTGTTTTGTTAGTGCGTATGTGGCAAATATATAAAATATAAAGTAAAATTTGTAGTGATATGGATAATGTCAATATTTTTACTTATCCTATTTATGAACAAATCAAGTATGACAACCATGAAGTAGTATAAGGAGACCTCACGGCAATGGTAGTAGAGGCAAAAGTCAGCCTACATTTGGGGGAATAGAGTTGTGCTAGTTCTGACAACGTTCAGAGGCAGCGCTTTTGCGGAGAAAATGTAAATTACAGAAACAGTTTTGGCGGTATTATGCTTATTGTGTACTACAGGTGGTTTGAGATTCAAGTGAAAAGTGTTGTGATAAAAAGAAATAAAAGAAAACAGTGCAAATGCCTACAACTTGCATAATAAAAAATTGTGGTTCGGGCAATGGTGAATATAGAAAATCCCAAGTGCATAAAAGTTTTTTTTCACCATGTACGGTATGTTGTCATAATTTTTGACTCAAAATATTTTCATTGGAGTATAAATTAATTCATTGTTTGATATATAAGAATGTAAACAAATAAACAATCTTTCAGAATTAATATATTTTATAAACCGCACTTATATACAGCTAGGATTTGAAATAATACTCAAATTATGTTTACATCCGTTTAATACAGGTTAATATGTCAGGAGTAAGCAGACGATATTTCAGTACTAAATTTCAACCGCAGAGGCGCAACCTCTGAACGTTGTCAGAAATCGCACAACTCTGTTCCCCCAAATATAGGCTGGCTTTTAAGCCGCGTGAGGTCTCCTTATACTACTTCATGATGACAACCTTTGAGTTGATAATACATAACCTCAAAAATATAGAAATAAATAAATTGGTACGTAAAAAAATACATATAAACAGAAATTAAATAAATAAATAGGAACATATAAAAATAAATATAAGAAAAAATTATATCTCTTCCATTTTAAAATAATTTCATTTTTTTAACAAAATTTTTATTTTTCCCAAATTTTGGGTGTCCAGCAACTTTTAAAAAAAATTGAAGAATCAATTTTTCAATATAAATTTTGTTCGAAGTTCACCTGAACCCTTGCGAAAACAAAAAACCATAATGTCTCAATTAAATATTTATGAAAAATGTAATCAAATTCTTTAAAAATTCTTAAAAAGAATCTTATAATTATTATAGATATTCCAATATTCGATTATTTAAAAAAATTATTCACTGAATTTTAAAAAAAATTCAGCAATTGAACCTCCAAATTCTGTAACTTGTTTAGCGCTCGGACGGACGCTCTATTAATAGTTGGGTAGCAGCGACCTACACAGCACCCAAAATTCCCTGAAACTTGACAGAGCCTCACACGGCAAGGTTAGGAAACTTCAGTGGCAAGGTTCATACAAGTTTGTGTCGATGTTTTAATGTCCACATGAAAAGAATATTTACACGAAACTTTGAGGAAATATTACACTATAAATATTCACGTGCAGTGTTCAGTCAATGTTGTATCAATATTCACCTATACTTATTATATTAGTAAATGAAATTTTTATAACTTTTACAACTAGGCGAAAGTGTAATTTTAATATTGACACAACATTGACTTAACATTGCACGTGAATATTTATGTGTAATATTTCCTCAAAGTTTCGTGTGAATATTCTTTTCATGTGGACATTTAAACATCGACACAAACTTGTATAAACCTTGCCTAACCTCGCCATGTGAGGTTCTGTCAAGTTTCAGGGAATTTTGGGTGCTGTGTGGAGAGCGTCAATGGCTCCCTCGCTGCTACCCGACTATTAATAGAGCGTGCGGCCGAGCGCTAAACGAGTTACAGAATTGGGAGCAAAATGATTTCTCATTTCAGCGTGAATTATGTATCTATATGCGTTGCGTTATTCTGCGTTTATGTATGCGTATTGTAGTTAGGATGTGTTAGGAATAATTTTAAGCCAATCTTAGAAAAGAGCCACTGGTGGTTCGGACGTGAGAAATTCTTTTTCAATCGCCCCAGCCCAAAAAGTCAATGTTCTGTGATTGGCTTCATACTTTGGTAAATTGTTGTCCTATATGATAGTAATAAATCTCTAAAATATAAACTCATTAAAAAAATATTTGTAGAAAGTAGAGGGGGTTGAAGTTTTGACGCTAAGGGTAACATTGTCATTTTCAAATCCGTATAACTATGACAAAAGTTAATGGATTTTAATTTTTCTATAATGAATTTTAATGAATTTTTCACGTACTTTTCAAAAATGTATACGAAATTAAAAAAAAAAATTTTGACCCCTTTTTTCAAAATCAACCCTTATTTTTCGATTTTCACACCTTCGGGTATTTTTTTTTTTTCATTGGAAAGCTGAGGTTTCTTCCCATGAGCTATGTAAATATGAAAGTGGGACAACAATAATTTTGTGAGAAACATAATACTAAAGTAGGCGGTGCCTACCAACTTTTATTATCAAACCAGAATGTTTCGCAATTGAAAAACAAAAATATCAATGTTAAGTTTCTTTGATATTCTGAAACTATTTTGTGATTTATTTACATTGTGTGGGTGTCACGCAATACCGAGCAAAATAGCGTGTTGGGGGGATGTGCAACACTTTTTTTGGAGTGAAGTGCAACATTCTCTTTTCGATAATTTTTTGCTATTTTATGATTTAATTTGTATATAAGAAATAGATAAATAAATAAAAAATCAAATAAAAAAATATTTTCTTAGGTGGAATTTTTAATTAACCCCTTCGCAGTCTAGTAAAAATGAAGTTTTTTTGCCAGCAATGTTCAAAAAAATTTTTTTTTGAAAAAGCATGGCTTTAGGGCGCACTCACACCACTAGCTGCCTGCACTGTCAGCCAGTGAGAGCCAATCAGAGAGTCAGTAGATTTAAATTTGAATTTTCTGTCTCTCTTACTCTTGTACGTTTTCTGCGTGGTGGGAGGCTGCCTTTGTAGGCAGCCAGAGATGTGAGTGCGCCCTTATCCTATTATATGTTTTTGACTCCAGATTTGAATTTAGCAATTTCATATGGAAAAAACTTTTTTTTCAACAAAATTTTAGATTTTATTAATTTAGAACCATTAAAACTCTTTAATTATGTATGTTAAGAATTATTGGGCAGCTGTAAAGTTGTAAGGAAACTACTGCGCAGTCTTTAAAGTTCTTCATTTTTACTAAACGAAGACATAAATAAACATGTAAAAGAAGATGTATCAAATCTGGTGCAAGAAAAAATACATGAACCTGCACAAGCATATGTACAAGAACACATACATTTTCTTGTATACAAATATTAAATAAATTTTTTGTACAAGTTCTGATACCAGAACTTGATCTGAATTCTGGTGCACGAAAATGTACATTTTCTTGTACAAGATTTTGTACAGGGATTTTCAATAGGGTATAAAATAACAATTTAGAAATATTTCTATTAAAACAATATGAGAAATCTCGAATTCCAATTTACTCTTTGTATTATAGTAAAGAGAAAAACTACAATAATTCAGTTAATTTTTTACAAAATCTATTCAAATAGGGCTCATTGGATGCAGAATTTAATACGCTTTAATAGCGCTAGAAAAGAAAAAATGTTTAAATTAAAATTAATGATGAAAACATCAGTTAAAGTTGAAAAATTGTGAGAAAAATGACAACTTCTGGAAATTTTTGTAATTCTTTTCTTATAAATATTAATTTAAACAAAAATATCGAATATGGTTTAGACCATATTCGATATTTGGAAAAAAAATTTGAAATCGGCGCAGAAATAAGAAAGTTACAAAGGTTTTTATGCTTAAACATACGTAAAAATGGTTTTCTGGCTCTAACAAGAAAATTTAGGGGTGTTTGGAGAATTTTATATACACCATTCTTCTTAGTTTTATGTGACCTACAACCTCCAATAGGTTTCATAAGAAGTTTAAAAAAAAAATTAATTACACCGTGTAATTTGGATTGTTAAAAATTCTATTTACATTGGTTTTATTTTCACTGTAAAAAGAAGGTACTAAAATATTACCGATTTTAAGTATTAAAATAGAACCAAAAGGCAATTTAGTACCTAAAGTTGCTACTAAACTAATACCTTTCGTTTTACAGTGTTATACAGAATTAGATGATCTTCCAAATAAAAAAAGAATTGACGATTTATCTTCATTTTTTCAAATGTTATTAATTCTTTAAATAATTTTTATTATTAATTATTAATTTAACACCCGTTTATCCAAAATAGTTCATATAGGGCTCGTTGGATGCGGATTTTGATAAGCATTGGAATAGTATTTTTAAAATTATTCTAATTTTATTTGTTCGTAAAATATTTCATTTTTTATTAACTTTTGTTATTTAATTAATTAATATCTCGAAAACTAAAAATATAATGCCATCTCAAAAATTTTACCATCGATTTATTATGACTTAAACAACATTCATGATTTTTTTCGAGCTTAAAAATGAGGGAGAACATGTTTAAAAGTAACAAACAAATTTTATTTTTTAAACAAATTGTTTAAAAATTAATATTTTTAAAAAGATTACTTTTTTCTGAAAGTTTAAGGTCTTTTGCGTAAAAAACATTCTCAACATTTTTCTTTATTTTTAGTAGGGAAAAAGTTATAAGTAAAGCAAAAAAATATTGCTCCAATTTTGTTATTGTAAATATCTCCAAAAATATTAAAAATTTCAAATTCAAAATTTGTACACTTATTTATCACCACTATCTGAATTGTTATACTTAAACAACTTTCCTTTGCAATTCCTTAATGACTATTAATTATAAAATGATCTTGAATTAAACTTAAACCATATTCCTTTCTGCTGTATAGAGGAAGGTACAAAATGATAAACTTAAAATCACTTACTTAAATATACAATAGTAAATAATCGTGTTAGATCTGAGGATTCTTTTAAAATTTTAAGTTCCTGTTTGTTTTCTGATACATTGTAAAAATCTTGAGACATATGATTAAGAATTTTTTGTAACTGAAATTTAAATTGAAGTGTTAAGTTATTATATATGATAAATAGTTTCAATTTTATTATATTTTTAACCTTAAGACTGATGGAAAGTCACTATAGAGGCATTTCCCGTCTAATGTCCGAAGTTGAAAAATTGATTTCTCGAAAAAAAGTGAAACCTGGGGAAATTGTTGTCCTACACGGAGAGAAAAATCTGCCTTTTATAGTATAGAAAGGTTTACATTTAATGCACAGAAATTTTCTATGCTATATAGACATGAAATTTGAGTAATTATAGTACAATCGTATGTCTTTTTAGCATGAAACTTGTCTATGCTAATAAAGTTTGTCATATAGCCTCTTATTACATACTTATTATACTTTTAATCCAACGGCGCCATGCGAAGATCGCACATAACATCATCCTACTATGTTTGCATAAGTTCTATGCTTTTTCGGGGATAGACTCTTGCAACTGGCGATTAGGGCAGTTCCAATTCAGTAAAGGTGGGCGTGGCCTAATCGCCAGTTGCAAGAGTCTATCCCCGAAAAAGCATAGAACTTATGCAAACATAGTAGGATGATGTTATGTGCGATCTTCGCATGGCGTTGTTGCTATTAAACTACATGTTTTGTACTATAGAAGCATATATACTATGCTTTTTTAGTACGGACAAATACTATCCTAAAAATTCTCAAATCTTTGCTCTATTAGTATGAAAAGTTTAAAGAAAAATAGCAGCAATCTATTTCATACTATAAAAGGCAGATTTTTCTCTCCGTGTACCTGATGGTAAAATATCCCAAAAAATTTTGTTGACTTTCTTGAAATTTTGAGTAAGATAGAGGAGGGGAGGGGGTAATTTTATCAGTTTTCCTTAACACCGCCTAATTTTAATTTTTGCTGTCTATACATGCAATAAAAAAATGTTGTCAAGTATGTTTTTTGAAAGTTTTTTATGCTGTTTCCAATGGTAAATTTTTTAAAAAAATTTTAATTTTGACCTGATTTTTTATAATTAAACATAAATTTATTATTTTCACCAAAATCGACAGTTTTTTCAAAATAAATAATTGTAAACGAAAGCTGAAGTTTTTTTCGATCTGTATAAAAATTTTCAGAATGACGTTTTTTTGTTTTCGAACTATTAAATGTCAAAAATTTTATGTCGGCGCGCGCGAGTGTGAACACTGAAAAAAATAGTAGTCTCTAAATCTGAATTAGTAGTTTTCTACTAATGAATTGGTATTGAATACGGCCAAGTACGTAGGTTTTCTTGATTCAAAACTATTTTTTTTCAGTAATATCTCTAAAACAAAAAAACGACATTATGATTTGTAGAGTAAGTGCATCAATTACGTCGCGTTTATAAAAAAATAACTACATATTATTACTATTATATTTAATATAACTGTTGCAAAATGATTTTAATCTTTTTTGATACAATTACTAATAAAGATGCACATTTAAACAATTACTAATTTAATTATTTGAGATCGAATGTTTCCCCTCGCCGTAATTGAAACATTTTTAAGATTTCCTTTGCCTCCAATTACGGTGGGAAAAGTATCTTCAAAATACACGTACTTTTGGTCACCGTAATTGATACACCGAAACTGATGCAAACGCGCCGTAATAAACAATTACGGTATTAGTTTTAATTTCTCATATTTGTTTAAATAATCGATTTTTATAAAGTTAAATTTTTTTAATATCTAAATAACATACCCTTTTAGTTTAATAAATCTTAAATTGACTTTATACAATAGAAATGTTGAATTTTCTATTTCAAAGGTGTTTTGATTCGAATTGCGCCGTAATTAGTGCATTTACCCTATACAGATCGGAAAAAACCCAGGTTTCATTTGCAATTATTTATGTTGAATGAAAAGTATTGAATTTGTTAAAAATAGCAAAAAGTATGTTTAATTATAGAAAATCAAGGTCAAAATGAAAAAAATTTTAAAAACAACATTCACCATTGGAATGAGCATCAAAAAACATACCTGACAAAATTTTTTTTATGTTTAGACAGCAAAAATTAAAATTAGGCGGTGTCAAGGAAAACTGATAAAATTGCCCTCCCCCCCCTCTATCTTACTCAAAATTTCAAAAAAGTCAAAAATTTTTTTAAGGATATTTTACCATCAGGTAGGACAACAATTTCCCCAGGTTTCACTTTTTTTCGAGAAATCAGTTTTTGAAATGCCTCTATGGTGGCTTCATTTAACTTTATCTAGAATGTTTGTTAAAAATATTTTTGAGATTAATATTTTATACTTATTTACCCGGCAAGAAGCAAGGGATTAAAGTGGATTGAAACTTTTTAATGCCATTTAATTCCGTTTTCTTCCGAATACTTTTGAATCTCTACAAGAGTATTAGTAGGGATCAAAGGACATTAAATTAAAATTAATTATTATTAAATCATAATTATATTTGCTGAATGACATTTATAATTATAAAATATATATTGATTTTTGGATAATTTATAAAATTAGAAACCAATAAATAGAATTAAAATTATTTAATCTATTAAAAAATATTATTTGGCATTCGTCTTTTTAACCTCTTTACCAAAAAAATATGGTCATCCCTGCTGATGCTTGTCTGCTACTAAGAATCGTAGATATTCTTGGTAGACCTTGTTGTGGTGGTGGGGCTTTTCACTAAAGGTCAACCAATTACCAGGGTGGTTCCCATCTCAAGTAAATCAAAACGGAAAAAAATATGTATATGGAAACCATCGAAAATATGGTCGTTGAGGTGGTCGGATCCCTCAACAACGGCGCTGTCGGGGGTGGGCTTGTTGGTCCCCAAGCGTCGGTATCATGCGTCAACAAGGCTGTAGGATTGGACTCCTTGGGTCCTGCAGCAAGTGAAGCATCAAGGTGCAAAGACAGTGGAACCAGCAACTTCGAGCTGAATGTTGCTGAACAGCTCCAAATAATTCCAAAGATATTGGAAAGCATGCGTCAGGCATGCAAACGGCAAAAGAATATCAGCAAGGATGTTAAAGACGGTATGACGGCTCTAGAGAAGGCGTTCGAAATAATTCGTAGTAACCTACGTTTTATTAACGAGCCCTTTAAGGTCTCCGAGCCACCCAAAGGAAATGTCCAGGCATCTTTGCTTACATTAAAGGCTGTTCTGCATCCCCTTAAGGAAGCTAAAAAGCGCCATAGAGAGGAAGGTAGTCCCGACGCAAGACAGCAGCCGTTGACTCCTAAAGAGAAGAGGGTCAAGAGCAAGGATGCTCCTGACAATACCCTCATCTCACAGGTACACGGAAATGCTGTTTTGCATGCGGAGGAGTCCGAAGTTGCGGGCGATAGAGAAAGCGTCAAGAAGAACGGTGACGGCTTCTAACTTGTCGTCAATAAAAAGAAAAAAGCTCGGAAAAAGAAAGCTGAAAAGCGAGCTGAGGCTCTGAAACGCCCTTTAAGGCCAAGAAATACGGAGACAGTTAGGATTTCGGCAAAAGATAAAGATTCTTACACCGAAATCCTAAAACTTATAAAAACCTCCGCACGTCGCAACGCCGTAGCTGGAAGAACCTAATCGAGGACGTCGAGAAGAACCCATGGGGTCTGGCTTTTAAAATCTTTACTAAGAAATTAGTAACCAGGCAAAAGACCCCCCCGCTTGGACAATCCCGATTGGGTCAGAAAGGTAATAAAAACCCTGTTTCCTCCTGCACAGCCATGGCTTAGGGAAGACTGGAGTTCTTGCATAGTCAAAGAGGAAGAACTCTTTACTCTTGAAGAAGTGGAAGCAGCAGGTAGAAGATTGAGGACATGCAAGGCACCTGGAATCGATGGGATAAGCAACAAGATGCTAAAAGAGGTGATTGTTGCTTCCCCCCTGATTTTGCTAGACATTTTCAATCGCTGCCTAGAGAGAGGAGAGTTCTTTCCAGACTGGAAAAGGCAAAGACTGGTCCTCTTAAAAAAGGGTGACAAACCTCTAGATAAGGTCTCATCATACAGGCCTATATGTCTGTTGGATACGATGGGCAAACTTCTAGAGGACATGGTTCTGCAGAGAATGCAATCTCACTCGACCGGAAAGAATTGTCTATCCGATTACCACTTTGGATTCAGCGTGGGGCCCATCGAGGCTCGAGGGTAGGACCATTTTTATGGAATGTATCGTACGATGACTTGCTGAGAATGGACCTGCCCGAAGGTGCGGTGATCGTCGGCTTTGCGGACGACGCGTTGATCGTGTGCGCTGCTGACACGGCTGAGGTTCTGGGGATATTGGTGAACGAATGGAAACCAGAGGTTTTCAAATGGCCCTGGAAAAGACCGAAGCATTACTGGTCACAGACAGACGTGGTTATCAGCCACCACAAATCGTTATAGACGAATTCGAGGTCAAGTGGAGGAGACAGATAAAGTACCTTGGTGTGGAACTGGATGGAAGGTTAAACTTCCATCATCACATGGCTACGGTGTCAAACAAGTCCATAGAGTGTGCGGCTAATTTAGCACGGGTGATGCCAAATGTTGGAGACACCCGTGAGAAGAAAAGGTGACTGATGGCGAGTGTCGCCCACGTTAAGTTGCTTTAAGCAGCACTAGGGATCACAGTACCTTTTGTCATCAAAAAAGGTGAAAAGGTACAATTTTTTTCAAAAATAGGTGACAAAAAAATTATTGTTAAAGATGAATAAACATGTATTTTAAGGTTTATTAACAATTTATTTGTTACTAAAGAGTACTTTTATTATTCTGTATCAAAACATAATTATAAATTCAACATTTATAAAATGTATAAAATAAAATTCCTTTAAAGTTAAGAAGAAGCTGAGAAAACCATTTTCAAGAAGTCATTTTTTTGCAGCACTGTCCATTATAAGAGAATTGGCGCTTTAGAGGGAGGAAGTTAGCCTTCTTCTCAAAGAGGCGAATTCCTCAGAAGAAGAAGATCGACACAGCAAGGACCGCATGCGCATCGCCACTTGGTTAAGTAGGAACCATGGAGAGGTCTCCTACTATTTGACACAAGCGCTGACAGGTCACGGATGTTTTAATTCGTACCTGCAGCGCTTTAAGAAAAGGAGTAGTGAGGAGTGTGCTTACTGCCAGTTTCCTGTGGACAACGCAGACACACCCTCTTTGCCTGCAGTTGATGGGACTTGGAGAGGCAGGCTACAGTTACACCGGAGAACATGGTAGCGTTGATGATCCAATCCCTGGAAAACTGTCGGCTTATCGAGACCTTTATCATCTCTGTTATGATGAGAAAGGATCTCGATAGCCGCAGAAAGGCGTAATTCACAGTCTCCAGTTATTATTTCTTTATGTTATTTATTCTATTTATTTGTTTATTTTATTATTTATTTTGTCTTTTATTGTCTTTTTACAATTTTATGTTTATTTTGTCTTATGTTTTATTTATTTCAGTCTTTTTACAGTTTTATATTATATTCTATGTGTTCATTTGCCTTTTTATTATTTTATTATTGACTTTGTTTTTTTATTTTTTTGACTTTTATTGTTTTTCTTTGCTGGTGTGCTGTTAATTCCGCATTGACATTGAAAATTTTTTTATTTAAATTTATAACGCAGGATGTCCGCAGGACTGGACGAAGTCGCTTTGCGACAGAGTAGAAGCGCCACCCTCGAAGGCAAAAGTCTTCCAGACGGTTCCAAGGGTGGATGAAGGGTTGACGGGTTTTGGTGGGTCGGGGCTGGTAGTAGTTCGCCAGCTGATTTTGTTTATTGGACCCTTTTTTACCAACCCCACATAACCAACCACCACATCTTTCAGTAGAAGACATATTAAAATAAATAAATTTATGAAAGGGATTAAAAAGAATTCATCCTGTTAGATGCCCACTCCTTGAAAAAGTATTAAAAGGGATAAAACACGAGCAGCATTGGATGACATTGACTTCATTCAAACCCTTAATTTTTATTGAGGCATTGAATCTAATTCAAATTTTACATAAAATGTTTATGGATTCAAAAGGATTCAAACGAGGCAGATTTATAACCTACCGAAGGCATTAACTGGGATTCCGGAAAGAAACGGAATTCATTAGCATTTAAAGGCATTCGATTGTCTGTTTTTTCAATGATAATTAATACCTTTTAATACACTCCTTCTTGTCGGGTAAATATAAGTATAAAAGAGTATTCTCAAGAATATTTTTAACAAACAATTCATGACAATTATAAGCTCTTACATTTGAATACAAACTGTCATCTGACACTATACCTATATATCTCTTTTAATATTTACCACTTTTTCATGTTTAACTATATAAATGAAGTTCATTATTCCTAATGGGATAAGAAGACCCAAAGATAGGCTGTCACAAATTCCTTCAATGTCGTTTCTCACACTGTAAACATGTATTACCTATAATGTACAATAATTTCATTTTAGAAATATAGAAATAAAATATATCAATATTTGAACAACAAAAATTTCTATTAACGTAACCAAAATTTTAATCTTTTTATTTTAGGTAATACGTTGAATAAAATATGCAAAATTTTTAAAAAGTGCATAACATATAAAAAATGTATTTTAATAAGATCAATACCCTGTGGGCAGAAAACCATGTTCGTTCTAAAAACGTTTTAAGGACGTTCTTAGAATGTTTCATGTCCGCCAAATAATTTTCTGGAACATTTTAAGAACATAGAAGTTCAAATAATGTTCCAGAACATTATTTGCTATACATGAAACGTTCTTAAAACGTTTTTAGAACAAACATGGTTTTTTGCCTACAGGGATAACTTTTGTCTAAAAGTTTATTTTTAATTTTGCATACTTTACCCAATAAACGAAAAAAACCATATATTTTCTAACATTTGTGTGGTTTTCACCATAAAAATAAAATTTTTGGGTATTGTCACTATGATTTTTGTAATCAGCGCATCAAAATACATAAAAGTATGTAGTATAAAAAAAACCAAAAATATTTTTGAAAAATTCAAACATTTTTAAAAAATTCCAAAAATTTTGTCAAAATTGTTTACCAACAATTATAGGCTTAACATTTTCGTAGAAGGAAAAATTTTTGAAAAAAATCGATCAGTACGTCAATTGAGAAACATGACTTTTTATCTTTAAAACTTAAAAATTGAATAGTAATATCATTTGAAATTTTTTTTTTTAATCATGAATGCTTGTCTCAATTAGTACTAAAAAAAGTTGTATTTTAAGATACTATATATTATAAAAGTTTGATAACAGTGTGTGACCAAAAAAACAAACTTTGAATCGAACCTAATGGAGGTTGTAGGTAACACAAAACTACCCTAGTAGAAATTTGTCCTAGCTATAATAAAAGAACTGGCAAGTCTTGCTTGAATTTGTCTAGTTACTTTACTAGCCAGATCGCTAAAAACTCGAATGTCATGTCACGCTTTTTTCATCAAGTTATTATCCAGCACAACTTGATAATTATTTATCAATAGAACTTTTGAAAAACTAGTCAAATTAATTCTTCTAAATATTTCGAAATTCATTAAATAATAAGATTTAATGTAGTAAACACGTTTATTTTATGTATTAAAAAAAATTCCAATTATCAACAAAAATTATTATATGAAAATATAATGCACTGAATATAGTAATTCGTTATAAATATGTAATTTTTCATTCACGATTAAACTGAATTTAAAAAAAATTACATAAGTAAAACGATTGAAGCAACACATCCACATCTTGACTGATCTATTAACAACACTGAAACATTTATAATTATTATATTAATATGAATGTCATAACATAAACCTTAAAACACTTCTCGCAGTTTCAACGAAAAAATCTTGGGAGTACCGGGAAGCGAACACGGGCCCGCTGGGTGGGAACGAAAGAAACGCACGCTTTACGGAACTCGGCCGTTCTAATCAGTGATATTAGAATAAATGGGGTGTTTTCGTTAGTTACTGTGAGTATACTCAGAGTAGCTAAGTGGTGCTCAACATAGTAATAATGCGTTTGAAAAGTGCAGTGCAGTTCACATGCGTGCAATTTATTTGTGGATCATGCGCAGTGCTGTTGTTTTTGTTTTTGTAGTTATGTGAAATTCTGACGCAATTGACACATGGTCTGTATTTTGCAAAACGTTTTTTGGTTACTTCTAATTTTTATTTTTTCTTTTGTGCAGTGGCTACTAGTTTTTGGCAAAAAGGTAAGTGTTTGAAAATTTGACAGGAATTCATTTTTATACGAATTTTACATAAAATTTTTAGCTACCGAATTTTTGTTTAGTAGAATTTTTATTTTAGTCATTTTTATTACATGAATGTTAATTTGTTAATGTTAAATAATATTAATTTAACAGAATTCTTATTGAAATGAATTATTTATGTGATTCGAATTTTTAAAAGACAGAAACTCTAAATCACCGAATTTTAAAGATTTTTTTTAATTGTATTTTTTATTTTAGAGGCAACTTTATAGCATATTATAATGAGTGGAAATAAAAAACTACCCCTTATCGTAGAGGCAGTTGTAGACCCGGATACCGGTCAAAATATTATTCGGCCACAAGATAAGGCAGTTTTATTTTTTATTCGTGAAGAAGATGGTAAGTTGTGGAATAAATTCCATATAAGAATAATTATTATTAACTGTATATTAAAATTAATTAAAAATAATACCATTTTTGCATTTTTTTAAGAAACCGAATTTTTAGAATTTCTAACAGTAGAAGAAATAAATTTTCAATCTGGAGATGGGGGTAAGTTTTACAAAAATGTAAAATGTACATTATTTATTATGTATTTTTAAATAATCAGTCTCCGCACACACTGAAAAAAAAATTATTTGATGATTTCTGTATTTAAAACAAATAACATTTTATTTACTCCAAATAAAAATTATTTAATATTTATTTGATAATAGTCAAGTAATCAAGTATTTGAATCAAAAAAAAATTTTCAGTGCAGCACTTAAACTACCAGCATTATTCGCAACATTGTATCAATATTCTAATATTGGACAAATAATTACTATTTGCTGCTGAAACATTAGGTACTGTGGAGATCTATGAATTTTGGAAAATTTTAATTTTTTCAATAAATAAAATTTCCAAAATGGACAAAAATAATTTTTTCTAATAATTTTAATTATTTAAATCCTAAATAATATATTTAAAAAAATAATAAGTTAATATAAATTTTGAAAGTTTTAAATTTCACTATTCTCTCCCTTTAAATTTTATAGCTGAACCAATGCCAGGGATATCAAAGGACCATCAGATCCCTCAACAAAAATTCTCAAAATACCTTCAAGTCCATCAGCAGAGACCTTTAAAGGAAATACAAATGCCTCAACCGGGACCATTCAGAAATATTCAGGACCATGAGGTTCTTTATCAAGAATCCTCAAGATCCACTGCAGAAGGGTATAGCAGTGAGGAGAATTCTGATTCAGGTAAGAGAATATAAACTTTTCAAAAAATTCGTCGAATAACTCTTCGAACAATCTCGAGAGTATTAATTTTTGACATTTCTTTCTTTGAATTGATTCATTTTAGTTTTCAGAGATCTTTTTACGTTTAATTACTTTAATTTTGTTAAGAAAAATTGTTAAAACTTTAAAAAAAATGATTAAATAAATATAAACTTTAAAAATTTTGATGAATAACTCTTCGACACTTCCCACAATAATCAATGTTTTATAGTTCTCTCGTCAAATTGATTCCGTTCAGTTTTTGGAGATCTTTTTTAGTTTATTTATTTTTTAATTTTATCAAGAAAAATTATTTAAAATTGATAAAAAAAATTTATTATAAAGAAATGCATATACTATTCATTTCAATGGTAAAAAATTTTATAATTAATATTTTATTTTATTTCAGAAAATGTCTTAAAGTGGTCGAATAAAATGACAGATTTATTAATAGAATTGTATAATCATATTAATAGATCTGTTAATATGAAAAAAATCTTAATGACGAACTATTGGAAACGAATTGAAACTTTACTAAAAGAAAGTGGTTACAGTGTCACATGGATCTAGTGCCAAACTAAACGGAACGCTTTGGTCAGAACTTATATAAAAACAAGATGGGGGTCCCTTTTTATAAAAGAAGTTTATGTTCATTTCATGAACATTTTGCTTCCTCATTGCGCAAAGCAAAAGATTTGCTTCCTCTTGGAGGAAGCAATAAATTAATAATTTATATACATATTATTTTTAAAATATGATAAATGATTTCAAAAAATATATCTTTTTCCACCTTTTCCACTCTTTCAACCGCTTTATTGCTGTTATCGACTGATTCCGGTATAATCGCTTTTTCCGTTACAGCAGATTCCGGTTCAATCTTTTTAGTTTGAATTTGTTGAATTTGTTTATAAAAGAAATTTGTTATAAATTCAAACACTGAAAAATTCAATTATTTATTGTAGATAATAATAATGTAATAATAAATGTAATGTTTTATTTTATTTACCCATGTTTTATTTTCAACAAAAATCCTTTTGAAATATCTTGACCCTAATTTTTTAATAAACAAGAAGTAATACAATTTAATTTTGAAAAAAATATATAGATAGAAGATAAAAAAAAACAATCGGTTTGTCAACGTATAATCATTTAACCTTTTCTGCACATTGTAAATGGCAAATATGCTTTATTTATAAAAATTAAAAAATAGTAATAAAAAATAAAATAATAATAATATTATAAAATCAAATTATATTACTATTAAAAAATTCGGCTCAGGATTTTTCAACAGGATTTTTCTTGAAAATAAAACATGGGTAAATAAAATAAAACATTACATTTGAAGCAATATTAAATTTCTGTTTATAATTTTTATTTTTTTATTTCTGAATATTTAATTTTTGAATAAAGGTTTTTTATTATTATCTACAATAAATAATTGAATATATTATATATATACCAATTAGTTTCTTTTGACGTAAGGAATAAGATTATTATATGTATTGCCTTTATTTTAGCTTTGAAACAATTTTTTTATTAAAATCGATTTTTTGAAAAAAGTAAAAAAAAAATTTTTTTAGGGGGTACTTTCTAAAATTGTTGTGTTCATTTTGAGATATTAATGTGACAAATGTACATACCGAATTTTAGCCAAAACCGTTAAAACGTATTAACGATATCGTGTTCACAAAAACTTTTTTAACTAAAATATGAATTTTTGAATTTTGAATTTTTTAATTTATTCTTTAAATTTCAATGAAATATAAACTTTATATATACCAATCGATTCGTCTTGATATGAGGAATACGATTTTACTATGTATTGCCTTTAATTTTGCTTTCAATAAATTTTTTCGATTAAAATCGATTTTTTTGAAAAAATGCCAAAAAAAATTTTTTTGTGGGTATTTTCTAAAATCATTGTGTCCATTTTGAGATATTGATGTGACAAATAAATGTACCAAATTTTAGCCAAATCCGTTAAAACGTATTAAAGTTATCGTGTTCACAAAAAAATGGATCCACACACACACACACACACACATACACACACATACATACATCCGGACAATTGATCAGGGACTTATATATGACATTTATAAATAGAAAAAAATTTGTTTGGTGCATTTCTAATAATTTCATAATTTGAAGGACTTGCTTCCTCCAGAGGAAGCAAAAAAAAAAAAGGAACTCAACTGGAGAAGGCCCCATTGTTTGGCCTTATTTTAAGTTGATGAATGATATTTTACACGAACGACCAGAAATTGTACCACCTGCCATTGCTTCAAGTATAAAAGGGTACGAAAAGCGCGTTTCCAAAAATGTTAAAGAATTCAAAAAACGACAAAAAAAGAAGAAAAGGAACAGCCGGCATGGTTTAAAGAAATGAGGCAGGAGCAACAGGCTCGGTTTGAAGAGAATCAACAGAAAAAAGATTTTCTGCTTGAAATTCTTTGCGAATTCTTGCGTTCATTTGCAAAGAATGAAAAAAGTAATAGTGACTCATAAACAACTACTTCTTTTTTTTGTCAAGAGTAGTGTTATTTACTTTTTTACAAAAAGCCGAAAACGATAATTAAAAACTTCTATTAATTCAATATTTAACTTTTAAGGCAATTCTTGTGTTAATAGAGTAAGATAATTATAATAATGCAATCTAATCAGTAGAAATTAACACTATAAGACTGAATAATAATGACGGGATGAAGCAATATAAAAAGAAGAAATAATGCAAATGTTTGCGTAAATTGTGCTCTCTTTATTACATCCTCTTGAAAAGTGCGAATAATTTAAGTGTTCAATCTAACTGCTTTCGAAAGAAAATATTTTTTTGTGAGTAGTGGATAAGTTTATTCTTCCTTTTCTCCCCTTCGAAAAGTGTCAATTTTGACTAATGAAAAAAAAGCCATTTAAGTTTAAGAAAAGTATAAATTTTTTGTTGCTATACAATTTAAAAAAATAAGTATCACTAGTTTCATTGAAAATGATTGTTAATATCCTTTTTTGTTTTATAAATTTTTATACACGTTAAATTTTAATCAATTTATTTGAAATTATAAAGATATAAAACAAATAATATATAAAAAAACTTGTTTCTTCCAAAGCCGAAAACTCTATTACATGTTAAACAACAAATCGTAAATAACAGAATATTTAACCAAGCAAAGATTTTTTATCTTTTGTATGTAGCCGTCGATATTACAAAATAATTGTAAAAATACTGAATCTCCAAATACTAAAACATGTAATGCTATAATTTAATGTCATTAATAAATCATTAATAATTGTCTTAAAGATCTTTTATTTCACTTTAATTTTCCTTGTCATTCATTTTAGTTTTTACTATTGTTTTAATAAAATTTTAATAAAGAATCCCGAATAACGTTTTAATATCAAGATAGAGTAAAATGATACAATTATTATTCAATTTTCAAATTTTTTAATAGAAAATTTTTCATTTTGATATTCTTAAATTTGTAAAATTCTTAATTTTATTATTTTAACGATAATTTTCATTCTTTTTTTATCTTAAATTTTGTTAAATTTAAGATTCTTACTGTTTAAAAACAAAAAAAAATATATAGAATTTTCAAAGTTTAAAAAATGTACAGGCCGAAGGCAGAAGACTACCTCTACATTTATTAATAAAAATAGTCTGATGTGAAAAATAATAAATTGATCTTAAATTAAGAACGATATTTATTTACATTTATATATCAATCAATATTTAATGAACCTTCTTTTGATAATGAATATTTACAAATGATCTATACAATACCTATATTTAAGTAGAATAAAACTTAACTTAACATTTATAATAAGTTTATAAAATAAACATTTTATATAGCATAATTATTCTTAAATTATGAATATTAGAAGATTTAAAGTTTTTTCTATTAATCTGGCGCTAGCTGTTGAAATGTTAAAAATACAATTTTTCAATAAGAAAGAAAAAGTATCATTTTCTTCTGGCATACGATTATCGTAATCCCTGTTGAAAGGTACTAAGTGCCTGTTTCTGAGATATGCATTCTGAGAAATAGGTATCGAGATTTAAATTTGATTCACTTCAAAATAAGTTGTAAATGTATAAACTGTAGAGGAGAAACTAGTTGTGATGGAAGCATTGAAGACAGAGATGGTTGCCCTGAGAAAGATGAATTAACTGTAGATGAAGATTAGGTTGTAGTTGAATAATCAAGATAAGGATCGTGTGCAAATATTATTCTCATTTTTTTCAGTGATTATGATTGTGGTGAATTTTTAATTTAATTTGAGATGCTTCGATTATGATGAAACTTCGAATTGAGTAGATTTCATCTTCTGGGATTGATATACAATTGATTAGCAATAATGTTGCGCTTAATTTGTCGATCAAAACGAATATTTTGATCTTCCTGTGGTGGTACTTCTAATAAAGGAGTGTCAATTAAAGTTGAATAATTACAATTATTTTATTATAATTTAATAAATGTCATTATTTTAAAAAAAGCGCGTGCTATTTTGTCTTGGGACAATCTGGTGATTTCAACTAAATGTAGGTTATGTTCGTTTCTGATTAATGACAGCTGCAAACATTTACAATAAATAATGCTTTGCAAGTGTATATTTATTGCAATTAGGTAAGTTATGCAAAAAATATACATGTGAAACAATAATTTATGGTGATTTTCATAAAATGAATATTGATTTGGATGCTCTGGAAAGCAAAGTTCATTTTTTCGACCAATGAGATATTTCGATACATTTTCATGTGTTTTGTATGTACTATCTTTTTTAAGAAAGGAATATTAATATTATTATTATTAATTTATTAAATGATTAATTTTTATAAACAAGTTGTAATTATTTTACACCAAGCAAGTGAAATGTCAATACACAAAATCCTAACACAGCTGTCCAGTTACTAGACTTATTGTAGCGCCACCGCCATGACAAGGATATGAATATAATTTCGAGCAGCACCATTAAAAAAACTGGATAGCTTTGAGTCGTGGAAATATCAAGTTTAACTTGAATTATTTCCAAGAGTGTTGGTCAGCCACTATGCAGTAATTTGGAAGGTTATCTAAAATCATCCGACACGAGAAAAACTGTCTAGTAACTTGACGAATTCTAGTGTTGCCATGACAAATTTCTACTAGGGTAAGAAGAATGGTATATTAAAAATTTCCTTAACACCTCCAAATTTTGATTTTAGAGCCAAAAAACCGTTTTCACGTATGTTTATGAATAAAAACCCTTGTAACTTTTTTATTTTTGCACCGATTTAAAAGTTTTTCATTCATTTTGAAGCTAAAAAGCAGGACTTTTCAACTCACATACAGTTTTTTTTTGTTTAAAGCAATATTTACAAGAGAAAAGTTCTAAGAAAGTTCGGAAATTGTCATTTTTTTATCAATTTTTCAACTTTAACTCATGTTTACGGCATTGATTATATTTTTAAAAAAACTTTTTTCTTCATGTAATATTTAAGCGCGTATTAAATTCTGCATCGAACGAGCCCTATTTGAATAGAGTTCTTTAAAAATTGACTGATTTATTGCAGTTTTTCTATTTACAAAACCAGTAAATCGGGCTTCAACTTTACACTAGAAAGATTGAATTTATATAGTTTCAATCTCGAAAAGTGCGAATGTTTTTATTTCATTGGCGATGTTTTTTAGTCGTAAGACCAGTTTCTATGTCGTTTAGCATTAACTCATTTTGAATTGCAACAAAAATGAGACTAGGTTTTTTCTGTGATGACAAAACCGAGTTACTCTGGGGAATGTCAGACTTGTGGACAAACTGGCAAAGGCCATTCCACTGCCTTGATTTATAGTTTCCTAGGTTATATTGCAAACATGTCATAAACAAGTAACTCTCGTTTAATCTGGGAAATGCCAACTTGTGGAAAAACTGTCAAGGGCCATGAGGGAGCCTTACTTAAAATAAGTAGGGGAATTTCTGCACGGTTACGTGAAAACGGTTTTTTTGCTCTAAAATAAAAATTTGTGGGTGTTAGGGAAATTTGTAATATATCATTCTTCTTAGTTTTTTTTACCTATATACAACCTCTAGTAGATCCGATAAAATGTTTTTTTCAAATTTTTTTTGTAATGCAATGTAATTATAATTTTATAGAAGTTACTTTCATTCGTAATAAACAACTTAATCAAAAAGTGGTAAATAATTCTATGGAGAGTAGACTTCAGAAATTTAAGCCCATATATAAATTTTTATAAAATTAGAGTAAATTAAAAAAAACTAAATATCAAATGTGAAAACGCGAAACAAATTTTTATTACGAGCAAAAGTGGGATAGAAGGATATCCCGTTTTTACTCTTAACTTCAAGCGATTCGTTTTTCTTTGCAGTTTTTTTTTCTTTTTTCGAGGTGAAACATAGTTAATTAAAATTTGGTCCAAAGATTTTTTTCAACTTTTAATACTTACCCAAGGTATAACTAATGAGATTAAAAATATAGCATATAATATTCGGAGAGCAACTGACTCTCGGTAAGAAAGAAAAGGCCAAAATGCGCAAAATGAAGTAAAAATTTTTAAATACTTAATATAAGTTAGGAGTATTGAAGAAAGCATAATTAAAATTAAATACTGTAGATTTAGAATATTAAATTTCTACATCAGCAAAACAAAATAAATTCCATTCGTAAAAAAATTAACAAAAAATTTAAATCTATGTAGGGCATTCCGCGAGAAATTTTCATTCAAAATTTTTTTTGTCCGAAACATTTTTTTCGAATTATGATTTTTTAAAATTTAACGTCATCAAAGGCAGTGTATTTTTGAAACATTTTTTTATCTATTGTACTAATGAATAAAAAATTATGCTGCAAATGAAATTTGTTCACTTTTTCTCAAATTTTTCAAATATGTGATCAAAAATAACGTACCTATAACGGAAGCAACAAGAATTTGAAATTAAATTTAAAAAGTGAGTTTTCTCATAGATGGACACTTTCGATTTTTAATTTTTCTTTTTTTGCACTGCAATCTCTGATGACTGAAGAATTTTTTCCCCTATCTGCAAAAGTGGTATTTTTATTTTTTAAATTACTATTTACAATTTTTAAGCTAGACGCAAAGATATATAGTATGTATTTTTGAAAAATTAGAAAAAAATGAATGAATAATAATTGGAAAAAGGTTATATTTTTAGAATAACTGCTTGAAATTCTGTGTGCCGTATTAAGAAAAATAAAAATAGTAATTTAAAAACTAAAAGTACCACTTTTGCACATAGGGGAAAAAATTCTTCAGTCATCAGAGATTGCAGTTAAAAGAAATTAAAATCAAAAGTGTCTCTCGTTAAGAAAACTCACTTTTTAAATTTAATTTCAAATTTTTTGTTGCTTCCGTTATGGGTACGTTATTTTTAAGCACATATTTGAAAAATTTGAGAAAACATGAACAAATTTTGATATATAGTATAATTTTTTATTCATTAGTACAACACGGAGAAAAGAGGTATAGTACACCGTACTTTTACGCGTTTAGTAAGAAAATTTGAGTCGTGACGAATAAACATTGAGTCATGGTTACTAAACAGCGTTCAATTATTTTTTAGTCGATCGTACTAAACGTAGTAGTGAAGGTAACTGTCTGCTTAGTAAAGCAAACTATACCGGTTCTTGCCGTCAATCTTAACATGGTTTTGACATCTGTGTTTTAAAATGTGCGAGATGGAGGTTAAACAACTGTTAAAAAGTTATGGGCTCGAGAAATATAAATATATAAATTTTTATACAATTATTCTGTTCAAGTTTTTTTTTAAATCAGATTATTAAATTAACTTTAAAACATATTAAAATCATTTAAAAAGCTATTAAAAAAATCAAACGAAATCGAGATAAAATATCAATTTTCCAAACTTTATTTGTTATGATACTTATTTTTAGGTTATTATTATTTTAATTATTAAAGTTATTTTCTCACATTTTATTTAAATCTGACATAAATGCTGTTATTTTCTTTATTAAACTAAACAATTATTGAAAATATACTTTTTAATTCTTTAAACTCAACACCGTCGGTGATTTTTTTGTAAAATGTTTCTCGGTTTTTACTTATTTCGACCACCATAAACAAAATCTTGGAAAAATAATATAACGTTTTATAAAATTATATAGAATATAAGTTTTAACTATTATAATTAATGTATTTATTATAAAAAAGGTTATAATGTTTATTTTGGTGTACTGTAAACACAATCCCAGACATGACAGTTCATATCGTAAACGATACGTTTCACGTTGGTAGTCCTGCTAACTAAACGGCCGTTTAGTGAAGCTTACTCTTTGTTTTGTTGAACGAAAATGTCACCATATTGTTTAGTAACTAAGACTCAGCGCTGAGTTCAATCGACTATCTACTTCTCTCCGTGAATAGATTAAATAATGTTTCAAAAATACACTGCCTTTGATGACGTTAAATTTTTAAAAATCATAATTTCCTTCATTTTTATCATATAAAAATACGTATTTTCTTATTTTCCACATACATTTCGAAAAAAATGTTTTTGACAAAAAAAAATTTTGTATGAAAGTTTCTCGTGGAATCCCCCATCTAATAAAAATTTTTAATCTTTAGCCACAACTAAACACTAAAAGAACCTCTTTTCTTTATTAAGCATGCGAAAATGGGTTTTGTCCTACACGTATTGATATTGAAAAATTATTGTGAAATAATCAAAAGATTTTCAAATCACTTTGAATTAAATATTCAATTAAGCAAAGTTTGAATAAAAGTTTTCTAAATTCTATTATTTAAGTTTTGTAGAAATAAAAAGAATTTCCATTTTCGAATTTATCGTAATACAAAAAGTTTAGTTTACTTTTCACATCAATAATTCGTCTGATAATGATAGAGAAAAAAGAACTGTGGCATGTTTTCGTTTTAAAGTTACTTTAAATTGCTGTATTAAATATTTAAATAGACGAGGCGTCGATAAATCAGAATCCCATTATTTTTACGCGATATATACATAAAATTGGTGTAGTGTAACCGGCAATTTAGAAAAAAATATGATTTAAAAAGGAAGAAAAGATTGAAATATATTCGAAATATATTTCCCAGGTGAAAATATTCCCGTGGAAATGTACGTGGTTTTTAAACACGTGTAATTTTGGATGGTGTTTTAAAACAATTCTACTGAGAACTACACGTGAAACTTAATAAATAAAATTTTTTAAATCCTTTGTCCAATAGAGCTAATAAAAACTATGAGAAATATTTGATTTGTATTTTATAAACAACCTATAGTTAAAAAAACTTGTACAAGACTATGTACATTTTCTTGAACAAGATCATGTTTACGTATAAATATGAACATCAGGTCAAATGAAAATTAGTTTAAGCGGCGTTTAGTCCAAATAATAATTAGGCCAGATGAAAATTATGGCAAATGATGTTTAGGCCAAGTAATAATTAGGTCAGATAAAAATGAGGCAAAAAAGTATTAAGTTACAAAAAATTTAGGCCAAGTAAGATTTAGTCACATAAATATTATGCCAAATAAGAATTAGATTAGATTAAGATTAGGTCAAATGAGAATTAGGACAAATAACGATTAATATAAATGAGAATTAGATTGAATAAAAATTAGATCATATATACAGATTAGGCCAAGTAATAATTAGTCCATACGACTTTGAAGCCAATTGAATTTAGGTCAATTAAGTGTTAGGCCATTTGAAATTTGGAGAATATTCATGCGAACGCTCTGTATCACAGTGCTAAAACGGCAGTGTTCCAATACTGAAAAAGCAGTTTTCTGTTGGCAGTGTAACTCATGCCAAAATAGCATGACTTTACCGCTAAAACGACAGTTTTTTTCCCTCAGTAAGGTTTTTTTATATTATTTATATTTATTTTTTATATAGAAAACAAAATCGGCCAAAACACCGAGGATCCTTATCTTATCTTCCTAAATCCGAAAGATTGTGCAAATCTATACAAAAACGTGATTGTTAAAAGAAAAGTAGAAAAGTAATATAATGACAGCTGCGACATTGTGCCATACTGAAAATTCTCATGTAGGATCTTATATAGGATCTCACATAAATTCACATATTATTCCTATGTGTCATGTAAGAAACTATATAGGATCTTATGAAAAATCGCATATAGGAAATTGAGACATCATTTGAAGTGGGATTCGATGTAAATACTTATAAACGTATTCTTAGGTAATAAATTATGTAAATTCCTATGTGATATCCTAAAATTTTTTCTGGTCACATTTTGTCCTTTAATTTTTTATGTCAATTTCCCATGTCAATTTCCTTCGTGTTTTCTCATTAAAAAACATACCAAAATTCATTGCTCAATCCTTAACCAGAAATTTTTCGATATCAAATCATACATCAAATCTTTTTTCCATTCTTGAATAAAAACTTATTACAAAAAATCGGACATGAAATCATATTAAAAATCCTCACGTGGGATCATATATATGATTGATTTGAACATAAGAAATCATATACACGAAAAAAATGTTGGTGCACCGGTTATACTGGTTAGTTAAAAATTTTTTTAACTTTAAAAACGGACATCAGTTATACCGGTTTGGTGCAACCTATGTCCCGTACAGTGCGTCTGAAATCCCTTAAAGCGCTTCTGACGCGCCAAATCAGGATAACAATTGCCCGCAACCCATAGTACAACAGTTCTCACGTAGATTGCGCATCTGATGCACCAAAATTTTTTCGATTTCATGTAGATTCTAAAATATCTATATCTAAGATTTCACATAGAATTATAAAAAGGAAACAATATAGAATTTCATATAGGAATTTTCAGTTGGCAAACGGCAGTTTATAAAAATTAAAAATTATTTAATTAAAAATTAAATAATATTGCTGCAATTCATCTGAAAAGAAAAAAAACTGTGCTTTGCAATACACCTTCTGAGTTAGAGTCTCATCTTTTATAGTATTCAAGACTGATCTCAACTGTGAGAAGAAAAATTATCACCATCTGGCTGCGTAAGTGTGGAACTATGATGATCTACATGTATATTGGAATTTCCCATATAATTTCCTACATAATTGAGGGTTCACATACAATAAGGGGACGCGCAGTATTTTCGTTAGCCCCTCGCGCAGCCGCAGAATCGCTGTACGCGGGGACTTTCACTTTCATGCGTATCCCCTTATTGCATGTGAACCCTCAATTTCTCATATAATTTCCGACTTGGTATCTTAGATAAACAATTAAAACAGTGAAATCCACACATGACATCCCACATAAATTCCTATATGATGAATTCTTACATGAGATCCTATGTAGGATCCTATATAGGATTTTAATAAGAAAATACGAAGGAAATTGACATAAGAAATTTAAGGAAAAAATGTGACCAGAAAAAATTTTAGGATATCACATAGGAATTTACATAATTTATTACCTAAGAATACGTTTATAAGAATTTACATCGAATCCCACTTCAAATGATGTCTCAATTTCCTATATGCGATTTTCCATAAGATCCTATATAGTTTCTTACATGACACATAGGATTTTATGTGGATTTTAATATATAAATTTATTTGAGATCCTATATAAGATCCTTCATGAGAATTTTCAGTAGGGTGCTCCTATCAT